ACTCAGTATCAAACAACGATTCGTGTTTTACAGTCTGACAATGGTACTGAGTTTATAGATACATCATTCGGCACTTTTTTGAGCCACCTTGGAATTTTCCATCAAACTTCTAACACCTATACTCCACAACAAAATGGTTTGGCAGAGAGGAAGAATAGACAACTATTGGAAGTGGTTCGTGCATCTCTCTTTGGAATGAACATGCCTCGGTTTTACTGGGGCGAGGCAGTGAAATCCGCGGCTTACCTCATTAATCGTACACCTTCTCGTGTGATAGATTTTCAAACCTCTCAAAACAAACTGCAATCCTTACTTTCTATTCCTCACCTCCCAAATCTTGAACCTCGAGTCTTTGGTTGTACTGTATGTGTTCACATTCGCAAAAGTTTGCGCACTAAACTTGATCCTTGTGCACGCTAGTGTGTTTTTGTTGGCTATTCTAAGTTTCAAAAAGGATATAGATGCTATGACCCTCATACCAAAAAAGTCCATGTCACTTTGGATATTTCTTTTCATGAATCTGAACCATATTACACTACAGGGGTCTCTAGTCCTTCTCTTCAGGGGGAGAGTTCTAGTGAAGATAATGTGTTACAAGGAGGTAGTGGAGGAGATGTATTTATGGATTTAGAAGACATGCATGAACAGCTTGGGAACAGCGGGAAAAGTGTTCAACATAATTATGATCAACAAAGCTGTGAGAATTTTTCTGAAACTGAACGTGAGGTGGTAGTTCTCCCAAACTCTACTTCAGGTACTCCTCACATGTCAGAATCACCAATATCTTCAGAGTTGCCCATGTCTACACCATTAACTGAAGGATCAACCCAAAATGTCATTCCTTAGGTAATCTCGAACCCCGTATCAGATGAATCTAATGTAACACATATATATCCAGAATTGCCAATGTCTACATATCCGCAAAGATCAAATAAGGGAGTCCCGAAGAAACAATATGAACCTGATCCTAAAGCTAAGACTAAATACCCAATTAGCAACCATGTGTCGTCCCATAGGTTGTCTGACTCGTGTGCATTTACTGTTAATCAATTATCCACTGTATCTATTCCTAGTAATGTGCGGGACGCATTGACAGATCCGAAATGGACAAAGGCGATAAATGAAGAGATGGAGGCATTACAAAAGAATGCCACTTGGGAAATTGTTTCATTACCCGAAGGAAAGAAGACCATTGGTTACAGATGGGTGTTCACAATGAAACTTAAGGCAGATGGCAGTATTGATAGATATAAAACAAGGTTAGTTGCAAAGGGGTATACGCAAAGGTATGGGGTGGATTATCAAGAGACGCCAGTAGCCAATCTCAATACAATTCGTATTCTCATATCTATAGTAGCTAATAGGGATTGGCCTATGCAATAATTTGATGTTAAAAATGCGCTCCTCAATGGAGATTTAGAGGAAGAGGTCTACATAGAGTTGCCACCCGAAACTAAATGCAGTTCTTCATATAGAGGTGAAGTGTGTAAACTGAAAAAGTCATTGTACGATCTGAAACAGTCACCTAGAGCATGGTTTGGGACGTTCTCCTTAACAATGAAGGCATTCGGTTATAAGCAGAGTAATTCCGACCATACCTTGTTTATAAAGCACAAGGAAGGGAAGGTAACGGCTTTAATTGTGTACGTCGATGATATGGTATTGACAGGAGACGACCCATGCGAAATGAAAGCATTACAAGAATATTTGGCTGCTAATTTTGAAATGAAGGACCTCGAGCAACTTAAATATTTCTTGGGGATTGAGGTGGCGAGATCAAACCGCGGGATTTTTCTTTCACAACGGAAGTACGTGTTAGATCTTTTAACCGAAACTGGAATGCTTGCTTGCAAACCAGTAGACACGCCCATAGAATTGAATCATAAGCTTGAAGTTGTTCCCAATCAAGTTCTAACAGACAAAGGTCGCTATCAGCGGTTGGTTAGGAGATTAATCTATTTGTCCCACACAAGGCCAGATATAGCTTATGCAGTGAGCGTTGTAAGTCAGTTCATGCATATACCAGGTAAAGAGCATATGAATGCGGTATATCGAATCTTAAGGTACTTGAAGAATGCTCCAGGAAAAGGGGTGTTGTTTTCAAACAATGGTGTTTCTAATATTGAAGGATACACGGATTCTGATTGGGCGGGTGATCAAACCAACAAAAGGTCCACGTCTGGTTATTTTACTTTCGTGGAAGGTAACCTTGTCACATGGAGAAGCAAGAAATAGAAGGTCGTGGCAAGATAAAGTGCCGAAGCTGAATTCCGCGGCATGGCTCATGGTGTACGTGAATTGTTATGGATAAGAAGTGTACTAAAAGATTTAGGGATTGAATATACATGCCCTATGAATCTCTATTGTGATAATAGAGCAGCCATTGAAATTGCACATAATCCTGTACAACATGATCGCACCAAACATGTTGAAGTTGATCGTCATTTCATCAAGGAGAACCTTGATCAAAAGATTATACAATTTCCATTTGTCCGGCCTGAAAGTCAATTAGCTGATGTACTCGCAAAAGCAGTTTCAGGAAAGATGTTCCATGGTATAATCAACAAGTTGGGCATGATAGATATCTACGCTCCAACTTGAGGGGGAGTGTTGGCGTGAGTTGTGCATGAGCTGTATATAAGATTTAGATTAATTGATTCTAGATATGTTTAGATTCCCTTAGAATAGGACTAATTTATTTAGTTTCCTTTAGAATAGGTTTGTTTCCTTATTTACAGGATATAACTTGTATCCATATATATTGTCTTACTGTTGAGGAATAATATATACAGAAACCATTATTTCACAGGCGGCAATAGCAATGATCTTAGTGTTGATAGTGGTGGTAGGCGAGATATTTTGTTGAGGTGATGGTGGCGATAACAATGATTTTGGTGTTGATAGTGGTTACGGAGTGGTGATGAAGACAATGGTGATGATGGTAATGTAACGATAACTTTTTTCAACAATGATTTTTTCTTCTTAAGTGCAAAACATTTTTCATTTTAATGAACTTTTTTTTGTGTGACACAACATCAAAACATATAAAGAGCATCTTTAAAAAAATAAAAGCATTTTATGTTTTTGTCAGAATAAACAAAATCTAATTTTACTAAGATTTCAACATGAGAGAACTTGAGGGACCTATAAGGCTCACCTTGGGTTTGATTTCGATAATCTAAACTGTTCCTTTTGTAAGGCCATCAATGTAAAATATTCATGAAAAAAATTAGTTCAATCCAATAATCATAGTTTTTTTTTTTATTTTATCACTTTTGTCTTCAAAAAAATAGACGGCAAATATATTTTTGAAATTGACCATTCATTTTTTTAGAGACAAATGAGGTAAAATGAAAGGGTTAATTATCGAATCGGTCTAAATTTTTTCATGAATAATACATATTAAGAAATCTACAAAATAAATAGTTTAAATCATCAAAACAAAATCTATAATAAATCTTACAAGATACTTAAATGATCCCAGAATATGAGAGAAATCCAACTCTTTACTAAGAAAATGAACTTTCTCCGTGACGAAATTAATGGCCAACAAACTGACCATCATCCTATGCCCAATTGGGGTACGACTGTGGTACCAAAAGTGGTTTTTGGGTACCACCATACATGAAAAAAATTTCTATCCATTAGATATAGTAGATTAATTTATTCAATATACACATTTGTTCACCTAATCATTTGTAATCAATTATATTATTTGATTATGTTGGGTTTTCTAAATTTATAAAATGATTTGTATGTCTCAGCTAAAAATATTAAAATAAAACATAAAATTTATTTTATTCTTTGTGATTTGTGGTCACTTTATTTATTATGATTTAAATATAATCAGATAATTTCTATGTAATTTTAAACTAAAATATCAATATTAATTTTTTTTATTCAAATTAATGGAAAGGGTATACATATGCTATATTTTAGAGTGAATTTAATTTTTTTAAAAACTTAAGTGAAATTAACACGACGAAAAGATAATTTTATCTCATCTTCTCCAAATTTAAAATTAGATTAAGATGTTAATAAAAATAAAATATTTGATCTAAAATATATAATATAATCAAGAATTATTTGGGACATTGATTTATAAATCTCTCTTCACCTACTTATATTCTACTTAGTCGAAATTATTTTTTTATGTTTCAATAAGTCCTATGGAGACATAGTTACCAAAATACCTCTAATAATAATATAGGGTGAAACGTTAATGTTCAGATTGATAATATGAATGTTCCATGATGTGAACATTCACTGTCAAATTTATTTAATGTGAATGTTCACATCACCAAGTTGTTAAGAGTTCAAAAAATATTTATAAGGATAAAATTGTTTATAAAATACCTTAAATATGATAAAAATTTGATGGATCAAATGTCTAAAATAATAGTACTTATTGGAATACAAAAATATTTTATGAACTAATTGCGATACAAGTACTCAATAAAAGATTTTCTAATAAATTTCTCATTGAATTAAAATATAAAATAAATAATGATTAAAAGATTGATCTAATATATCTCAAACCATAATAATTTCATTCTTTATTTCACAACCATCAAATTAACTACAAAAAAAGTGAAAATTTATCTCAAACATAATTTTTTTAGCCAGATTAAAATGGCAAAAAAGTCAAAATATCAGGTTAAATTAGCTCATCCCAAACGAGAACTTACTATATAAATGAGTTTTGAAAAAGAATATTGACGATTTTTAATTTAAAATAAAGCACTCATGAAAATAATTTTTATTTATAAAATTGGCACTATCAGCTCTTTCAAGAGATTTTTGAATCTCTCGCAATCCTAAGGACTGAATAGAAATTGGTTTTAATTTTCAAATGAAAATTTAATCTTGAAACCATATGTATTCTCATGTTTAGAAATCCGTTTGTGCTAATTTAACTGATTAATAGATAAATAATATTTTTCTTTCATGTAAATATCCTAGAGAGAAAGAGAGGGGGGAAGAGAGAGAGAAAGTGTTACATGGTGACAACATGGCATGTGGTGTTATCGGAGGTGCAGTTACCACATTTGACAGCATTCTGAGACGAGTCAAGATCAGGGTGTTTGGCCCAACCCAACTCTCCACTACATGGATCTACACTGAAATTCCAATCATTCTTTCCCAACGACTTTCCTATTTCCTTTAGAGCTTCCACTGCAAAAAGAGAAAAGCACATATTAATATTTTTATACTTATATATAAAGAATCAGAGACTCTTTACCAAATATATATCTCCTTCATGTAATTAAATTTTAAATTTTAAATTTTATAAATTTAACAACACGTACTAACATTCTAAAAAAAAACAGCACGTTACTAATATTATATATATATATATATATACACATACATATACCTTCAGACAAGGGAAGACGAGTGGCTTCGGAGGCAAAAGCAGCCAACAAAATGATTACAGTGAGTGAAGCAAGAAGTCGAGACGACATTTTTTTAAGTGCTTGAGAGAACACACAACTTATTAGTAAGGGTAATGTTATATAACCAGCAAATGCACTATATATATTTTTAGTTGCGGTATTTAATTATATAACTTATTATATTATTAGTTATGATTTATTGTGATGTTGATTATAAAATTATTTTAGTTTTGATGTAAAAGTTCTTTGTTATATCTTACGTGATTTTTGGTTATAATTTATTTTTTTTTTAAGTTATAACTTCCATAATATTGAGTTATGCCATTTACGATAATCAAATTCATAAATGGCATAACTTGCATATGGTATTACTCTACATATAAACATTTAAAAAGTTAGGCAAATTACATGGTTATTTTCTGTAATTTGATTCTCGTGTATTTTGGTCTTTATATTTTTAATTGACTTGATTTTTATTGATATAAACATTTAAAAAGTTAGGCAAATTACTTGATTTTAAATTTTTGTATTAATTTAGTCCAATTGACAATACCTATTAAGGTTATTGATGAAAAATGATCACTGATTTGATTAAAATTAACTTATTAAATTAACTAAGTTTACAATTTTTATACCTTAAAAGTATGAATGACATTTGTTGATTATGCGCGCTCATTTTTCATAAAAAAAATGTTAATAAATGTAATTAATTTAATTAAATTAAGATAAAATTCTAAATTTAATGTTAAAATTCAACTAATTAAAATTATAGGGATTAAAATTATAGAACAACTAAAGTATAGCACCATTTATATAATTTAACCTAATTTTTTTTTTGTACAAAATGATATAACTCATTTATAACTATTCACTATAATAAAATAAAATAAAAAAAATAAAAAAACCACTACTATGAACCATAATTGTATATTGTTATTGTCATATTATATTTTTTTGTAATATATAAAAAATTTGTATGTTAATAATTTTTACATTTGTAATTCTATAACTTAGGTTTGTCTCCTAAGATTCGTTTGGGAAGAAGTTATTAGTTTGATTTTTTAACTTTTTGATTAATAATGAGAAATTTTTAGTCCATATTGATGAGCCATGAAAAGTATTGCCGTGTTTATTATTCTTTACATTAATTTTTGATTAAGGCTTGAGACCTTTTGTGGGACTAAGCATTAATCAAAAATCAATGTATAAGCTCCCAACTGATGTGGAGAAGGAGTATATTTTTTTTTTCTCTTTTTCTCATAGGTGCGTGGAATCGTGAGGGTTGTGAGGCGTCTATGTCATAACTCTTGACTTTTTCAGTCCATATTAATGAGACGTGAGAAGTATTGCCCTGTTCTTTTCTGATGTATCCAAAAAAAAAGAAAAGTATTGCCCTGTTGATTATTTTTTACATTGACATGGTCCATGCATTGAGGCCTACAACATCTATTTTTGAGAAAAGGTTGTTTTAGGCCATATTATGATCTCTTGCGCAATTTTAATTATTTTGATTTTAATTATGAATTTATAATTTTATTTTAATTTAATTTAATTGATTATAAGTTTTAGCATTTTTTTATGAAAAATATGTATATAAGTGTTATGTGTCATATTTTTAAAAGTAAAATTATAAACTTACTAAATTCAATGAGTTAACCACAACCAATTTAGTAATAATTTTTTTTATATAAAATACTAATGATATTATCAATTGGACTAAATTGATACAAAATTTAAATTTAAAAGTTAAAATTGAGCTAATTAAATTTAAGAGTTAAAATAAAATGTAAGTATCGCCAACCTAATTTGCCCCTTACCTTATGTCATAAATTTTTTTTTTTTTTAAGACACTACAAGAGATTGCACTTTTGGCGACCAAATTTTTAGTCGCCAAAAGTCAGATTTTAGTCGTCGAAAAGTTTTCCCGACTAAATAGTTTGATCGCCGAAAGATTTTCGGGGAAGGTATTGGCGACTAAAAAATATTTTGTTGCCGAAAGTCCTAAATTGGTGACTAAACAATTAGTCGACAAAAGGAAAGGTGCTTTTTTTAGTCGCCGAAAGTCGGCAATTGGCAACTAAATATTTAGTCGCTAAAGTTTAGTCACCCAAAGTTTTCAATAAACGTGCTTTTTGTTTTAGCAACTAAAATATTTAATCGCTAAAAACGTGGCACTCCTTTTTAGCAACTGTGAGTGTTGATTTCCGACCACACAACCAGAAAGGGAACTCAACTGGAGAGTACCGGCAGAATAGATTAAGCCCGAACAACCTGTCACAGAAAGATAAGAATCCGGTGGTGGTTCGTCCACCCAAGAACACTCCGACGATCAAGTCAGTAATCAAGTATCTCTCAGAGATAGCAAATCGTGTTTAACTCACAAGAAATGGCTTATTGCTTACCATATATCACACATACCTCAAATCCACAAGGGTACACTTCTTTTATAGCCAGCTCTGATCTGATCCTTGTAGAAGTCTCACTTTAGTAGACTTTGGCTCAATGCTCATCCTGGATTCTCAGGTAAATAGGGATAAACTCCCTAAGAGTTTTATTTTTATCCAGACTGAGATCCTCCATTGTTCTAGGACTTTTGTCCCTTATCCACTCATCTGGAATTTCGGTATCTCCGCAGATAACCTCGGCCTAGCCGCTATCACCTCGGCATCAGGACCTGGCCATGTGACACCTCGGCTGACACTCCGACGTCACCTTGGCCACGTGCTGTCATTCATGAAATATGTCCCCACAACTGCCCCCTAGGTTCTATTACCTTGGTAACTTGAGGTGATGGAACCTACATCGTTTCTTCCTATAGAACGTCGACTAAATTTCATTCTTTCCTTCGATCGAGATCATGACTCGTCGGTTTCAAGTACTCAAGACTCAACTGTCCATCTCTATCAATAACCAAGAACCAAGTTCCTTGAGTTCCTTAATCGAGATCGTTTCCCTAGCCGAGGTTTTCGATTCATTACATCAAGAACTCCAAGAGTTTTATCTGCGCATGAGCTGTCACGCACGGTTTTCTCAACCATTTCCACCACGCGTCCCTTTCTCATTGGTTCATACCTAACACGCGCTATCAGGTTGTGCACACGTCGCCTGACAAACACGTCGTCCAAAGCATTTCATTATGATTTTCTGCCTTTTTGCGTTTTTGACAAAACTCTTCATTCTCTCTTCGTCTTTTCACTTTTGCAATTCACAATTTTCCCTTATTTCTCTAACTTTCTCTCTCTAACATTTCCCTTCCAAATTGCCATTTTTCAAGCTCTCAAGCTCTGCAACTACCTTTTCCGTCACCGCCGGCTTACCATTCATCATTCGACTCTGACCATTCAACTCGTTTGACTCCGACACATCTCACTCCGGCTTCAATCGGTAAATCCTCTTATTTTTATTTTAACTTCGATTCTCCACAGTTTTTTACTATTCTTGTCTATGCTCTCCCATGCAACTTCCATTAGAATTTTGCTATATGTTTTTGTGGAATTTGTCTCTATATTTGTAATTGCACTCTGCTTCATGCTTTGGTCACAATTTCTTGTTTCTTGAGTCTGTATCACAATTTATTCCTGAATTCAAGAGTGTGCGTATTGCTTCTGGTTTTTGCACACTGCCTTGTACAGACTCACTCATTGTTCTGCGAATTTATGATTTTCTTAATTCTTGAATCTCGGTTGCGTTCTTGATTTCTGAATCATGCTCTTTTTTCTGTTTGTCTTGTTGTATTTCCAGATTTTTGCATTCAATTCCTGTTTCTGTAGTTTCTAGGTTTGGGATTTTCTTTAGAACCTTATTCTTTAGGAAAATCAAAACGAATTCCCCTTAGATCTTCAAAAACCTTGACACTAGTGCCTGTTTAGGTGTTAGCCGAGGTCTTTAAACCTATATCAATCATTCTGTTGCCAAACCCCTTCTTGCCGAGATAATGGGTATGTTTAGGTGGAGGGTAGACAGCCCAGAAAAACTAGAGTTTTGTAGGTGGGAGTTCTCTATTCCAGCCGACGTCCATTTGAGGTTAGCTGGGGAGAAGGACTCTATCATGCCTGGTGAAAACTCTATGCCCTTCCCTATTATTGCATTCATTGAATGTGGACTTCAGTTTCCCCTAGATACTCTCTTCCAAGAAATCCTTCACTATTACAAACTCAACCCCATGCAACATGCCATAAACTTATATAGGGTTATCAATGGCATAATCGAACTAGCACACCAAGAAAAGGCTAAGATCACATTAGCTTATATCTAATTCTGCTATACCATGTGTGGCCTTAAGTCTGAAAAAGGCTAAATATACTACTTTAAGCCCAAATCCACCGCCTTCAAACTAATAACCGACCTCCCAGACTCCAACAAGGGTGCTGGAGATGATTACTTCATCGTCTTGGGCAACTGAGAGTTTGCTCCTGATGACGATCTTCATCTCCATCCTCTGCGCCAAGCAATTTTTAAAGAGGATGATGGTAAGACTTGGTCATCCTACTATAATTCCATTTTGGTTAAGGCTTGCCAACTCATTCATCTTTACTAATGTTAGCTCTTTGTTTTTTGCAGTTCTTCCTCAGCCAGCAAAGGGATTTCGGTAATCATAC